ACACCTTGTTATCTCAGATTCGCCAGCATCTGCAGTTCCTACTATCTCTGAAACACTATCACTTTCTTGATTCTCTTACAAGTGAAAATAGCTTGAGAAATGCCACCTAATACTACTTTTTAAATAGGTAACTAACATCCTCATATATTGCGATCAATCAGTAGTCTACACTGGTTTATATTACTGCTAATCCATTTATATACTGTTGTCTTTACCTTCCACCAGGTGCCACTGTGGTGTGAGAGTTACTCTGATCTGCCACGGTCATTTTTACACAAAATCTTAAATTAGCTAATCTGGCCTTTCTGCCATTGAGCCTGCTCTATTACCTCAAAAGGTCTCTAGGTTTACTATTCATTTTCATTCTCTAACTGACAGGTCCCACTGCCCACAGAATTGCAGTTGCCGATCATGGTTCACGATCTGCCCAAGCCTGAATGCTCAATTGTCATGGCATTATTTTGAAGAAACAAAGGTATTTTCAAGGTCAAAAAGATCCTGTTAACAGTCTTATGCTGCTCTCTGAACTTTACTTGAACTTGGCTTGCAGTGAAGATCATGGCCACTGTACCTTTTGATGGACAGAATCCACTTTGTGAGGTAATTTTCAGGCAGAGAGGATTGAGAGGAATTTTTATAATGACCTTCCTTGTGGCAGACAGAAAGGTAACCCTTTGTCGTTATCACTATCAGTTTTACCTCCTATCATGAAGGTGATCACAATTATAGAGTCTTGGGTATCCCCTGGCATGCTCTGTGTTTATTTCGAGAATAAGCAAAATTGAGAGGCTATGAGTTAGGTCACTGAAAATTGAAGTTCTACCCAAAGCCATGAAGACCGCAGTGTGGGCTTGGGAGGCCAATGATGCAAGTCAGGAGCTAAATTTACTAAGATAGTAAAGGACAGCTGTAAGGGCTCTAGTACTTTAATAAATTAATCTATTTACCAAAGTGATAACATTTTAATTATTTTCAAACCTATTTATTTTAAAAGAACATAGATCACTTTCAAAAATGAACTATGTAAAACCACACTACCACACCTACTCACCCACCATTTCAAATTATTTCTGCCATTTCAGAAAGAAAAGTTGAGGCAACAAATTTATGATTCCCAAGCAGGCCAAATTATAATTCATGGTTGTACTCCAGTGCCTCTACCTCTTGTAATGATACTATGGCTTTAAGAGGTCTGTTTTGTCCTTTTTCTATGAAGGGAGGTTGAGACAGAGGTGCCAATCGGTCTGCTGTAAGCCTATAGAGTAAGCAGCTTGTTTGGCCTTGGATTTTGTTTTAAAGTTGGAACAACAGCAGCAGCATGAAGGGGTGGGGTTCCACAGAACCAGGATTTTAGTTTAACTTTCAGTAGCTGCTATGATTAGGAAGCTGCTATAAGTCTCTCCCTGCTACAGCAAAATGCTTGGAGTTCTCTCTCTCTCTCATTCAGAGTTTTCTCTTGATGTTCTTTCCTCCTGGACTGGAGAATTACATGTGAGACAACCTATTTTACAGATTTTGCCTCTGCCAAAGGTGTCTTTATGGGATGTTACTATATTGGAACAGCTGCTGTTTAGTGGTTAAATAATCTGTCAAGCTTTCCAATACAGCTGTTATTCTAATTTTTTTTTCCTTTGTTTGTATTTTAACTATAGTGTAAGAATAAAGTATACTTTGCTTCAAGCCTGGTAATTCGACCAATTGACTTGCATCTGGAACAAAATGCCTTACACTTGCTTTTAAAAATAAGATTAAGTTGGGGTCTAGGCTATCTGAATATATTTTGAGGGGGTTTAGTCTGGTTCATACAGTCTCTCAAGATGATACTCAACTAGCATTGTGTCCAACTCAATTTCCAACCAGACAGCTCTGTTCCACTTCTACCAATTGCCTTTTGATTTTTACTTTCAATCCCACAGCCACCCAAATCTAAAGTCCCTAGTCCTGCTGCTTCCTGCCCCACGCACAGTTGCTCTCATCTCTGCTGAAATGCCTACTAGTCCCACAATCTGCTACTTGCAGATTTACTACCTGCACGATCTGCTACCTGCTCTTGACTGTAATAGTATCCTGTTTGCTTCTATCTAACCTTCACTACTGTCCAACATTTTCCAACCTGCGACACTAATACAAACTCTGACCTCTCTGCCACTCCTTCATTATTTACCATCCAGAACATAGGCTTAAAAAAACAGTAAAAAATCAGAACAAGAGAGGGCTAAGAGCAAAAGCAACATAAAACACAAGTCCACAACACAGCAACAAAAAGGAAAAGGCAACAAGGCAGAACAAGCAACAGAAAGGCTTCATGTTCCAACGTGTCAAGAGCAATACTAGAGCAGATCTAGCATAGCCGAAACAGCTTAATTAAATGTTTTATAGAGTCAGAGTCAGAGTCATACAGCATGGAAATTGACATACAAGGTTCCTTGCACACTGTCCAAATTTAATGAAAAAATAAAGTTACTTGGAAAATCTTTAAACAAATGAAAAGCAAGTGCCACAAAATTCTGTCAACACCAAACCGTGGTACATTTAGCTACCTCATGAACCTGAAACACACTACACAGTCTAGCTGAAGTGAAAAGAAATGCTTTTTTCATAAAGCACCATTCACAACCTCAGGACATCTCAAAACGCTCGTCCTTATTGTAATGTAAGGAAATTTGGCAGCCAGTGTGCACACAGCAATTTACATTTAACACATAATTGTCAAATGATTTAAATTAGGATCAGTACTAAGGCTAGAATCTTATTTGCAGGCATTCATAGATATGTTGTAACTAGCCCAAACTCTCATAGCTGTGGTATGAACTACTGAAATGTAAGGTACATGCATCAACAGTAGGAAATTTACACTGAAAAAAAATGTTAGAAGCTTTCACAGCAATAGGAGTTATGAATCAGCATTATATACTTTACAAATTCACTGGAAGGCCATGCATCAAAGGATTCCACACCTCAAGCCGATACCAGAAAGTTTGTTTTGTCTGATTCCCTGACAGAGAAGAACAGCAAAAATAAAAGCAAGCCAATGAATGGGCTACTCGTTGGCTTGGTTGGGAGCATTATATATTTGTGCCTTTTTTTGCCTTTCAGCTCTTGTGTCTTAAATCACTACACAAACAGGGACATATGCAAAACTCCAGACAGTCAGATATAAATCACCGAGCTGCTTGAACACTATTGTATGCTTCATTTCAAAGAGGCTAGAGTGAAAATTCTAATAGCGCCTACAATAAATTCACTCAGTTAATTAATATCCACATTTCCCCACAGTTGTAAGAATGCAATAATAGATACAATAAAATGAAGGCAAGTGAAATCACTACCTGAGTGTATGCTCAAAATCAATATCATCCACTGAGGCAGTAACACAGGGGCAGTTTGCATGCCTTTCCGCTTCATTTTTGGGGCAGGGAGGATGAACAGAGAAGAAAAAAAGAAATAACATTGTGTCAAGGTAACATTTTACATTTAAAATCTAAGGACAAGGACAATTATCTGTTATAAGAATATTACCCTGCATTAATATGTTAAAGCTCCGCATCATAAGCTTTTGAGTTTCAATGATCACTACAGCCAGCTATCAAAAGAAAAACCTCATTCCATCAGCTGAGCCTGAATATAAATATCCCAAAAGTCAACGTGATAACGTCTAATCCAGTGCATTAACCAATCCTCCATGAACGAAGAGGATTTCTTCCTTGATGCATGCATGTCGCTTTTTCAGAATATTTTCTATTGGCATAAAGGTTAACATTTTACATCTGGAGACTCCCAAAAATCTGAAAGGCAGTACTAATAATCAGAGAAATGTTTTCTTCACCGGTCTCTATTTAGTGGAGGCTACTTCATTAAGTTTGGCCCATAACTGAATGTTAAAAGCCGATCAATTTAAGCACTTCACTGTTTTCCCCTGAAACAGAGATTTCCATGCCAGAATGGGACCCTTGAGCCATACCGTCACCAGGGTTGACCAACACAATGTAAACCATCGTCTTACAGGATGAAAAGCTGCCTATTTACTTAGAACATGTGCAGCATCGCTCACCTCTGCTCATAATTTACTCACACTGCCATTCTGATATCACTAGTCAATTTTCCCAAAATAATGGTCCTTTTTGTCCCTCCAATCTCAAAACACCATAAATGCTAAGATATCCAAATCTCTGCAATAACATGAAATAAAACAAAGAACTGTGGATGCTGGAGATCTGAAACAAACAAAAACAGAAATTGCTGGAGAAACTCAGCAGATTTGGCAGCATCTGGTGACTTAACCTTTACTTTTTTTTAAGCTAATTGTCTCGTGGTGCTCAGTTACTACTGCATTTACCCCAACTTTGATGAATTGAAATTGGCTAGTCATGACAAATTTTGACTTGTCTATAAAATAACAAATCATGAGCTATCCTTAACATGTTTTATTGGAAAAGTTCCAGATGTTCTAAACATGATATGACAGGTTTCTCACAAAGTGGGGTAGCACAATGTAGAATTGCTGGGTACAGAAAAAAAGCCATTCAGCCCACTTTGTTTATCCTGGCTCTTGGATAAAGCTTTTCAATTAGTCCTATTCCCCGATCTTTCCCCATAGCACCTTTACAAAGTGTTCTATATATCTTATTCTCTTTGAAAGTTGGTATTGGATCTTCTTCCACAAGCTTTCAGGCAGTGAATTCCACATTATCATAACCACGAAGTGACATTATAATCTACTGTTAAATAATGCAGTTAAAAATAACTTGAACTGTTAGGTGATGATAAAGGGATTTTTGCTGAGAAACAGAATTTGTTAACTGGATTGCAGACCTGCTGGGGAAACTCAAGTTGTTCAGCTTTTGCTATATCAAAATAAGGCACTTTGATTGCAAGATTAATTAAGTAGATTGTGTTCTTTTAATACAGGGATCAATTTCAATTTTAAGAAATCAGTCTCAAGTAAATAGACCAGCAAGATGGTCAAATACGAGGCTCATTTCAAGGAAGAACACTGTGTGTTGTCAAGAAGGAGGTAGATATAGCTTTTGTGGCTAAAGGGAGCAAGGCATATGGGAAAAGGGTGGAATTATGGCATTGTAGTGTTGGGCTTAAAAAGTGATATGTCCAAACCAGATCATTAAAGGTTAACTGGAAATAACAATGAGTAATTGAAAAAGTGGGAAGTTACATAGAAAGCTGACCTGGTGCTAAAACACTCTATATCAGCTGGGAGGCATCTGCATGACCTTGCCTGGTGGGAAACAAAAACATTGTGCAGTTAACACAGACACAGTGGAGTGGTTTTGGCACAAGTAAAGCCTGTAGAAGTACCAAAAGTACAAGAAATGGCAAAACAACATTAGATTCAGACCAGTATTAATATCAGGGATAACAAGGTGTAGAGCTGGATGAACACAGCAGGCCAAGCAGCATCACAGGAGCAAGAAGGCTGACGCTTCGGGCCTAGACCGTCTAAGCCCGAAGCGTCGGTCTTCCTGCTCCTGTGATGCTGCTTGGCCTGCTGTGTTCATCCAGCTCTACACCTTGTTATCTCAGATTGTCCAGCATCTGCAGTTCCTACTATCTTTAATATCAGGGACTTTGCCCCACTCATTGGACTTCCACTATCGGAGCAGGGGTCGTGAGACCAGTGCCATGGAATCGAAGATAGAGCCGCTGTTGCCAAAGTTCCTGATGAGGCGAAAGGCAGTGAGACTCATTAGTTTGCGTGTAAAGTAGATTAAGTTAATAGATTCACTCATTAGTTTT